TGAGGTGCTGCATGGAGGAGGGAGAACGGGAGGAAGGAGGAGGCAGAAAGGAGGGAGAAAGGGAGGAAGGAGAGGGGTAGAGATAGATGACGAAAGAGGGGAGAGGAGGAGGGAGAGATGGACGAGGAAGAAGGGGGAGAGGAGGAGGGAGAACAGGAGGAAGCGGGAGGGAGAAAAAGAGGAAAGAGGGGGCAGCGAGTCGAGTCAGTCGACGCGTGCACGATGTGAGGGGTGGAGGTGTCGCGCGGAGTGAAAGGCCCTGTCGCTAACGTAACAAGGGCAAAAAAAAAAAAGAAAGGTGATTGGATGGTGAAGTGTTCGAAGGACAGATGGATGGAGAGAGAGGGAGGAAGGAGGGGGGACAGATGGATGAAGAAGAAGGGAGAAAGGAGGGAGAAAGGGAGGCGATGGACGAAGAAGAAGGGAGGAAGGAGGAGGGAGAAACGGAGGAGGAAAGAGGAGGGAGAAGTGAGGTGCTGCGTGGAGGAGGAAGAAAGTGAGGAAGGAGAGAGGTACAAATAGACGATGAAAGAGGGGAGAAGAGGAGGGAGAGATGGACGAGGAAGAAGGGAGAGGAGGAGGGAGAAAGGGAGGAAGGAGGAGGGAGAAAGGAAGGAGGAAAGAGGGGGCAGCGAGTCGAGTCTGTCGATGCGTGGAGGATGGGAGGGGTGGAGGTGCTGCGCGGAGTGAAAGGGCCTGTCGCTAACATAACCAGGGCAAAAAAGAAAAAAGGTGATTGGATGGTGAAGTGTTTGAAGGACAGAGACAGGAGGAGAAGGGGAGAGCGGAGAGAGAGAGAGAGAGAGAGAGAGAGAGAGAGAGAGAGAGAGAGAGAGAGAGAGAGAGAGAGAGAGAGAGAGAGAGAGAGCTGGAGAGAACCCACCTCAAGCGGCTCGGTGATTCCTCATCGCTCCTGCTGCCTGCTCCAGCTGCCTTCTGCTGCTGCCTCCTGCTGCCTCCTGTTTCTTGCTCGGGCTGCTGCTGGTGACGGGCAGGCACGAC